GGCCTTTCTCACTTTCCTAGGTTCCCACTTATCCATATCATAAGGTTAACATGAGCCTACCAATTCAGAATTTGTGACAACTAAATTGAATAAGTATCTGATTTTGTGGCTGAAATGTGCTTTTGTTTTTATATCATCCACATGACATATTATCAAAATCATGTTGATTGGTTTATTGGATAAGGGAAACTGAGCTAAAACTTAGTTTCAGACTCAAAGATGTGATCAGCATTTGCAAATACATTTTCTCTTTTAGCCCCACTGCAACTTCCTCTATATGATACTAGTTCCCTCATTTAAAAAAATAGAAAAGAAAAAGGACTAACACCACTTACAGAAGTGAAATGACTTGCCCAGGTTTTGTTTTATTTTTAAAAGATATTTGCTACAGGATGCATGTGCTTGCCAGAGACAGAGAGAGAAAACACCCTCCAGGGGGATTAGCCATGCTGCAATCCCTTCATTCTCCTCTCGGAATTTTGGGCACACCCAGCATGAGTTTCAAGCCACCAGGTTCGAAGCTCAAACCACAGGTGATCACATGAAAGGCCAGTTCCTTACTAGCCCAGTTTTACAGTTATTAGTAGAGGTATTGAAACCTTAATCTTTGCAATGAGAAAATCTGTATCCTTTCTGCTGCGCCTTCCTTGGAAAATAAGCAGTAAAAAGCATGTGATTACACAGGGCTTTGTTTCTGCATGTACCTCCCCTCTATGCAAAAATGCCGAAAATGAACCAAAACATTAGGCTGCTGCTACTTCCCACTGCCTTCCTACCCCATCTTAATTCCTTTTTTCCCTTAAAGGCAGAAATGATATTTTAAAGCCACATTTGTAACCATGTCACTCTTCTCAAAACCTGTGTCTTTATACTCAACCTAAAGACCAAAATCCTTGTCATGGCTGCAGTGGTTCTCCAGCCCCTTCTGTGCTCCTGGTCCCACCACGACCCTATCATCATCCCACGCTGTATGTCACAGCACGTCATAAATTCAGATCATCTGTGTGTAATGTTGGGAGTCACGTTTGTGTCCCAACCAGCCTGTTAACTCCCTGTGACAGGAAGCACGTCTGTATTGTTTCCCAGTGAGTCCCTACCAGTTTTACACAGAATTGTGAAAATTAGCTTTATTTCAGTCATTTATAATGATCTACTCTGACAGCAAGAACTAGTGCTTTACTCTTCTTACACTGGAACCTTGACTGTCTAGGGAAACAAATATGGAGTATACTTAGGGAAACAAATATGGAGTATACTTTCTTCATGCCCTCCATATCATTTCTAGATATTTTACCTGGCATAATAATTAGCAAGTGTTATTTTCTGCATGGCATGCCCTGTTCTATTTGTCTTACAGGCATGATCTTATCTAATTGGCATAGTAAGGAATAGCACCTGAGGGCAGGTACTATTATCAGCCCCATTTTTCTAAGATGAAGGAACTTGACCAGTAATGTATACAGGATTCAAACCAATACCTGTATATTTTTTTAATTAGCATATTTTATTTTAATTTCTTTTATACAATCACTACACATCCCTTAGCTTATAAAGTGAATTTTCACAATGTGAATACACTTTACACCAGTCCAGTAGCGGATACTGTACACATTATCAACAGATAACAATTCATTCAATGTTCCATAAATGTCTTGCTTCTCTATTTTTCTCCTTAATGTCTTTCATGACTATACCTTATTGTCTCTTTAGAAGTCAAATGCATCCTTAGAAAACCCTCTT